GGGGGGGGGGGGTGGGGTTAGGGATTTCTTAGCCAAATTTGTCCAATCAAACACTACATTTTAGCAAATTTGGAAATTGATTTCCTTTTTCCTAGGAAAAAAATGATCCATCAAAAAGGGCCTAATTTCTTCATTAAAGAACCTGATGGAGCCTTATATTTTTTCCCCTACTCATCTCATGTTGTTCGGCAAAGAGAAAATTGAGAATTACAAATTTCACTCCCAACTATTCTTTTAGCATGCTTTTTCCTTCCACAAGCTATTCGAAAGTTCAATCACTGGAACTGCCCTTTTATGGCCACGAAATTTTTTTCAAATGAATCAGCAATAAAAATAAAAGAAATAGATTGCAAAACAATAATTCCTGCTCTGGTAATAACTTCTTCAGAAACAAGTGCTAAGATTCGAAGTAACGAATTTGTAGAAGACATCATACTACAATATAGTATTTCCAAGTAAACGCAAGCCTCAGGACTTCCACACAAGTTCCATCTTCTAAAAGCTAATATGCAAAAAATATGGGAACATCGCAAATGAATATCCAGGACAGGTTCTAACTAGGGGGTGCTCCACCAAAGCTGCCAGATCCTCGCCCAAAGCCAGGTCTTCCACCAGAACCCTGCATATCGAATTGAATGGGTCAAGTTTTCATATGACGAAGACTTGACATTAAATAACAAAAATACTACCAATAAAGGAGAATCAACTGATTTGAGAATGTTATATTCTAACAAAACTAGGTAGTTTAGCAAGACCAATAAATTGGCTTGCTCTAGAAGTGCTCGAAAAGAAATAAATTTTGAAGGGAAAAGCAACCAAAACCCTAAACCTCTACTATCTCACGAACAAAATAATAATCCATACAAGAAACATAAATCAGTTGCATGTTAATTCAAAAAGAGATGTTTTTGATTTATCCAAATTTAACTGTCAACCACTGACATTGTAACATGTAGAGAGATAAATTAATCCAATTTTATGTTTTAATATAAGAGAGATGCTAGAGTTACAGTTGGTTCACAGTTTTTTTCACACATCCCCCACACATGGGGGCTGTGAAAAAAACTGTGTACCAAAGCTGTACATTCAGCTTTATTGTTAAATTTAATACAGTTGCTGTCTTCGAGAAATAATCAGATTAATTATTTCAACATCTCAAATGTGTGACTTATGAAAGTTTACACGACTAGCACCCTAATAGAATTAAACAATGTTGGAAAAAGGAACTCGTGACATTTGATTCTTTGATGTTCAGGGTTTAATGTGGAAAGCAATTAAAGAGTGTTGTCCACATGGAAAATGGTACAAGAGTAATTCTATCAATCACAATTGCCGATCTAGTTGGCAATTAAGTGACATTAATTGATATGTCATTTATAAATTTTAACCCTATCCCTACATTTAAGATGATATATCAATTAATTCCACTTAATTGCCTCCTAGATGACAGAGCATCAATGATTGTGATAGATAATATTCAGGGTATAAATATAGTTGAAAATTTCCTTGTGACTAAGTGTCTCACATTTGGCTTGTGAGATGCATCATAAATGCAAGTCACAAACAAGATCAAGGTTAAAAAATATGGAAACATTTCCGGAAAAATCCATTTGTACAATTATTAGAGTTTTGTAACTTTTACAACACTCTCACATTAGAGTGGGACCCACTAATTAATTAATTAGTGGACCCCAATTAATTAGTGGACCTCACCCTAATGTGAGAGTGTTGCAAAAGTTACACCACCCTAATTATTGTACACATAGCATGATTCAACATTTCCATTTGCAAAGGCCCTACCTAAATACTGTTAGCACATTAATAAACAAACGAACACACAATTACATAAGTCGTAATTCACTTAGGGCTTGGTTGGGAGTTTGAGGTACCGATATTAAACGTTTATGAGTTGATCAATTTTGAATTGCTTTAGTAGCAGATTTTAAAATAGTCCAACTCATGATTGAGAGTTTATTATCTATCGATTCTAAAAGTTCTTTAAAAGAATAAAATTAAATATATCTCACTTTCACTTTATAATTTCTTGCATGAAATTTTTTTATTCACCAAGTGATATTTTACTTATAAAGAAATTTTTCCTTTTAAGTTAATATGTAAAATAAAGTAAAATATTTACTTAAAATTTTAAGCTAGTATTTTTTACTTATAAGTAAACGTTACAATTATAAGTTAATTTTATACTTTTAAAGAATGTTCATGAGTGAATTTTTTAGTTATAAGTAACTTATATATTTTATAAGTGATTTTTGTCTTATTAGTAGTATTTGTACTTTATAAACAATTTTTTAATTAAGTTTTTAATTATAATGTAAACTTTTTCTTATAAATATTTTTTTAGTTAATAGATTTTTATTTACAAATTCATTTTGAACAAAATAGGTTGATTGAAAATAATTATTTTAAAAATGGTAAAATTAGAAGAGAATATGAGAAACGATAAAAAACCGACCATTTTGGGGAGTTGAGAGAACCAATCAAAATTACACTATTTCAATTTTAGGTGATTTTTAAGCCATCCAAAACCAATACTTAAAAAACTAACAAGCACTGATTTTTCCAACCCCTGCAAAACGATGCCACCCAAAATAGATCAAACTGGTGGGAAAAAAAACTCCCATGTAGACACTTAAGATCCATTTCCCTTTTAGCCCCTATTTGTCTACCATTAAAGTAGGAAAATGAGTTTTGGAATAGACTAATAGTGAATTTTTTAAGAACGGGGTTAAAAAGTAAAAAAAAAAAAGGGTTTAATTACAAATATTTTATTTTGAGAATATGTGATTGAAAATAAGTTTGAGAAAAAAAATTTCAAAATAATGGTAAACAAACAAGAGCTTATTATAATGAGGACAAATAAAATGTCACAATATCCATAGATTAGAAAAGGCAGAAAATAATTCAACAATCAAACAAGATGTAGCAAAAGAAAATCAAAATTACCCTGAAAGCAGGCTGGTAGTCAGCCGGAGCTCCACCCTTCTCACCACCAAATTCACCAGGTGGTCCTCTTGGGCCGCCCCTGTACCCATCCCTATCTCCAAACCTTGGCCTGTCACCCTCGAATCTCGGTGGTCCACTATCATAACAATCCCAATTAACATGTGATATTACTAACGGTAATTGGAACTTGTTTGTCAGTCAAAATGCATAAATAATTACTGTACAGGTATGTTACAAGAGTCAATTAACGCGACACTGAGTAAAACTATGCCTTTGTTTGGTAGGGATTAAAATATGATTTTTAGCAAATTTTAATAGAAGCTGATAAAATGTGTGGTTGAAAAGTTGTACAACNCTAGGCAAGCAAAAGAGAGACTGAAAGCGATTCACCGGATTGACTGACTGAATAGGACAGATGCGAGCGATAGACGAGAGTTGACCGAAGACCGTAGACAGCAACTGATTCCAAGAAGGGAATTGCTATCGAAGCGCGCTAGCAAGAAGAGAGCGTCATGAACAATCAAGAAGGAGGCTTTGCCTAAGCAATGGATTCGCGGGCATTCCTCTTTTCTTAATAGAAGAAAGTTATAGGAAGATAAAACATCTTTGTAACTATTATCATGACGAGATAATCAAAATAGAGACAGTAACAAAAACATGTACCAGCATACTATTAATGTTAACAAATTAAAAAATAACAATTAATTTACCGTGGGCGGTCGCCTGGTGGGCCTCCCATGGGTCGACCTAGGGGCTTAGCAGACTTCTTGAGAGTAGCTGGGACGATCTCAGAAGGAAGGTTGAGGTAGGTCCGGAGGAACTCGATTCCATCATTGGTCAAATACCAGTAGTAATGCATCCAGGCAAAGGTTTCCCGCACGTATTCCTTGGACTTAAAGCTCTGCATCAGCTTAATCACCTGCAAGTTAGGTACATCGATTTCCGGGTGCTTGGCCAGGTTGTAATCCTTCTTCGCATAGCATACACCCTCTGTCAAAGTTTACATGTATATAACCCAACATCAAAAATCAATAAAAATGCAAAATATGAGCGTCTGTGTTCGTTAAAGAGAGGGAATTTGATGTGACCTTGGAAGAGGTATTTCGAGATCTCTCTTCTGTTCTTCTCTGGGATAATCTAGCATAAAATTATCATCAGTCCAATTACCAACAGAAACATAACAATAAAACGACAAGCACGTAAATGTACAGAAAAAGAGAGAGAGAGAGATGAACGCTACCATGGCTGCTGTATGATCAGTAGGCGGCGGAGAATTAAGAAGAAGATTGGGGCTCTGCCTGATGATGCAGCAGCAGTTGAGAAATTGTAGAAACCCTAAAGGAAGCGGGCTTTATATATTTCGTGGGGACATGGTGGGCTGAAATTTTTAAGGTTATATGGATCATTTGTTTTACGCGGCTTAGGCCCAAGCTCACTCGTGCTCAACTATGCCCTTGTTTGACATCCATTTTTTCCCATTTTCATTCTCATTTTTTTTTCTCTTTCTTTATTTCAATCACACATTTTTTTAATAAAATAATATTACACATAAACTCAAATATTCTCCTTACTTTTTAACCATACATTCTTCCATCAATCACTATTCCGAATCAAATTTTTCTTCAAAAATGGATTTCAAACAAGGGCTATATTATGTGGAGAAAATGAGAAGAAATCATGGTTTTAAGATGGGAACAATACATAAATCCTACATTTCAAAATTACATTTCAAAAATAACAAATTCCAAAATTCTTTTCAAAATTCAGGTGTTAAATCAATTTATTAAATATTTTTAATTATATTTTTCTTTCTCTCTCTATTTCTATCATCTCTCTACCATTTTCTCTCCATCGGAGGCGGTCATCAACTTCGGGGACTGCTCCGAAGACTATTTCGACAATCACTCCAATAGCCGCTCCGACGAATGTTCCGGTGACCACTTGGCATCCGCTCGGCGACTCTCCAGCAATCACTTCGGCAAACTACTCCAATGACCACTTCAACGCATGCTCCAATCAACCTATCCACCCCATCCACCCACTCCCAGCTTACAATTTTTTTTTTTCAGAATTTCAAGTCACAATCAGTTAAAACGAGTCACAATTAACCAGCCAGAATCGATCACAAACAGTCACAAATGGTCACAACTAGTAACAATAAACACATATTTGGTCACAAATGGTCATAACAAACAATCTGCACACACCACATCAAATTGGATCAAAAAACCACCAACAAACTCCAACAATTCAAAAATCAAAATGAAAGCTGAAATTTGAATTTTATATCAACACATATACAAACACAATACATACAACTCCAAGAAATGAAGCTGCTACAGTCTACTTTCACCAGCAAAAGACGTTACAACCAGATGCTGAAGATCTAAACTGAAGCTGGAGGCTAAGCTGGACTGAACGAACTGAACAAACACAGCAGAAAACAGACCAGCCACACCACACGAAGCTGGCCCAGAATCAGAAATAAATTGTACCCAAAAAGAAGTTGAGCTGAAAATGGGCAGAAACCAACCAACTACGAAGCTGCCTAAAGCACGCACAAGTAGGTAAAGGTGAAGTATGCTTCTTGCTCTTCTTCTTGCTGTGAGCCGGAGCCTTAGCCGGGGTCTCACTCGGGGGCACAGAAGCTGGAGCTGGTGGTGTTGCCCCCTAGGGAACCGGAGATGGTGGAGATTGGACTAGAGCAGCCGCTAGTGGTAAGTTGACTGGCTCTGGAGCGGAGGTTCACCGGTGGTGGGGGTGAGGGGGTTTGGATTGCAGGCGAATTTTTGTAACTTTTACCCTAATCTTTCATTTGTTGTACCCATATTTTCAAACCTTTCATTCCTGTGTAGCGAAAGGATATATGTACGGTTTCCATCCATATATTTGTTAGTTGAACAAAGAAATTAATTTTGACAACCTTTTTTTAACAATTTCTAAAAAGGTAAAATATTAAATTTATATTTTATAAATAAAACAATTAAAATAATTAAATAAGAATTCCAGAGTGGTATCTCACTGATAGCTCGAGCCCTCTCGAAAGGAAACCTTCTTCGCCTTCCACCTAAGCTGCGTAGAAAGAAAGAAAGAAAAGAAAGAAAAAATAGCAGCTTCTTTTTCTCCAACCACCCCCACCTCACCTTACCTCAAGCGAACCAAAATTCATTGTTACCCACCGCCACCCACGCACCCACGCACCGCACTACAAACCGCTACAACTGCCTCATGAAAAAAAAAAAGAATCGCCCAAATTCTATCATTCCATTGCTTGAAGCTATTCATCAGTGGCGACATTTGCAAATTCTCCATCTTTATTCACCATCTTTTTTCTGTATCCTTCAAATCCCACAAACCCATTATTCAAAAATCCCTCCATTTTTCAAAAACTTCCAGTTTCAGAATCAAAGCCACAACAGAATTAGACTATTATATCCCCTATAAATCACCCTTTAAGAACTACTCCAACCTCTAACAATGGGAATTCAAGGACAATTTGGTAAAAATCAACTTTAAAAGGCTCGAAAAGGGTGGCTCTCAAAAGTCCTTCAAGAACATTCTAATGGTGCCCACTATTTCTGATGTTAGCACTGTTGGAGAATGGAGAGTTGTATGAAGAAATTGTTGGGAAATATGAGAAAATTTTGATTATAATGTTGATATTACAGAGAAGTTTCAGGTAGATCGCATCAGTGCTCCTGATAGTCCCATTGTTGCCAAATTCGCGACGTGTAGGTGGGTGACAATGACAGGCATGTTCGAGAGTGGATTTTGATTTGGTTTATTTGAGGTGGGATGGGGTGGGAAAGAAGACGATGGCTTCTTATTTCTTTTATTTAATTATTTTATTTGAAAAATATAAAATTACTATTTTGCCCTTTTAAAATTGTTAAAAATATTTTCAAAATTAAATTTCCTAATCTACTAACGGACATATGGATGAAAATTGTCCAACTATACTCCATCTTACAAAAATTGAAGGCTTTGGATAACGGGTTCAACGAATGGAATGTTAGGATGAA